GCAGATCATCTCGGTTTATTGTATAACTACTGGAGGCCTTGGGGTTTGTGATCAATCTGGACATGTCTGCACTAATACCATCACAAGCGGTGCATTTCCTGGGGTTTGAAATAAACACAGTGTTCTAAGTTTTGAAGCTTCCAGTGGCAAAGATGACGATCACACTAGAATCAGACAACTCCTCCGGCGCAAGTATACCTGTCTCCGACTGCTGTCATCCTCCATTCAGGCTATATTCATTGGGCCACTGCACTACAGAGCAAAGCAGCACCTGAAAGCCAGTTACCTTTGTCAGTCTCTTACAATTAGGTCATCGAGTTGTTGAAAAATGTTAAGGCAGCACCTGAAAGCCTGGAATGGTTGGGTGATTTTCAGTCATCATTCTAACTTCATGCTGCCAGTTTCAGTGGCTAGGGCAGGGGTCAGTAACCTACAGCACGTGTGCCATTCATGGCACTCGGGTTGGCTTTGTACAGCACTCAAGGCTACCAGAGCCAAACAATCATGGCCTATCAGGAGTGCTTAGTGGTGATTGCAGTTGATGAAAGCCAATCCTCAATTTACGCATTGTAGTATTTAGAGGAAGTGATCTCAGATCGCTATATCCCAGCATTGCTGAACAAACACCCCTCCACCCCCCACTGGAGTAGAGCAACTCACAGCAGCTATTGCAGCTCCTGCCCTTGACCTGTACCTGGAAGTCACTCAAACTGCTAGATAAACACAGAGCTGCAGAATAAGCCTCTTACTTATACAAATAATAGAAACAGTCCACACAGAAATACACAGTTCCCACAAACACAACTACGAACTATCCACATGCATGCACAAACACACATATACACAACAATGTGCATATCATCCACACACAATTCCACAAGCAGCCCTCATTCACAGGCCACATTCATAGGTATCATAATCAACCATACACAATGCCACAAACTACTCATGAATATATTCTATACAATATAACAGGCCACATGTGCACAAACACAACATAGAAACATAGAATGTGATGGCAGATAAGAACCATTCGGCCCATTTAGTCTGCCCAATTTTCTAAATACTTTCATTAGTCCCTAGCCTTATCTTATAGTTAGGTTAGCCTTGTGCCTATCCCACGCATGCTTAAACTCCTTTACTGTGTTAACCTCTACCACTTCAGCTGGAAGGCTATTCCATGCATCCACTACCCTCTCAGTAAAGTAATACTTCCTGATATTATTTTTAAACCTTTGTCCCTCTAATTTAAGACTATGTCCTCTTGTTGTGGTAGTTTTTCTTCTTTTAAATATAGTCTCCTCCTTTACTGTGTTGATTCCCTTTATATATTTAAATGTTTCTATCATATCCCCCCTGTCTCGTCTTTCCTCCAGGCTATACATGTTAAGATCCTTTAACCTTTCCTGGTAAGTTTTATCCCGCAATCCATGAACCAGTTTAGTAGCCCTTCTCTGAACCCTCTCTAAGGTATCAATATCCTTCTGAAGATACGGTCTCCAGTACTGTGTACAATACTCCAAGTGAGGTCTCACCAGTGTTCTGTACAATGGCATGAGCACTTCCCTCTTTCTACTGCTAATACCTCTCCCTATACAACCAAGCATTCTGCTAGCATGTCCTGCTGCTCTATTACACTGTCTGCCTACCTTTAAGTCATCAGAAATAATCACCCCTAAATCCCTTTCCTCATATGTTGAGGTTAGGACTCTATCAAATATTCTGTACTCTGCCCTTGGGTTTTTTCGTCCAAGATGCATTATCTTGCACTTATCCACATTAAATGTCAGTTGCCACAATTCTGACCATCTAGTTTACCTAAATCATTTGTCATTTGGCTTATCCCTCCTGGAACATCAACCCTGTTACATATCTTAGTATCATCAGCAAAAAGACATACCTTACCATCAAGACCTTCTGCAATATCACTAATAAAAATATTAAAGAGAATTAGTCCAAGTACAGATCCCTGAGGTACCCCACTGGTGACAAGTCCAAGCTTCGAATATACTCCATTGACTACAACCCTCTGCCTGTCACTCAGCCACTGCCTTACCCATTCAACAATATTGGAACACAAACTTAAAGATTGCAGTTTATTGATAAGCCTTATATATGCAACAGTGTCAAAAGCCTTACTGAAATCTAGGTAAGCAATGTCTACTGCACCACCCTGATCTATAATTTTAGTTACCCAATCAAAAAAATCAATAAGATTAGTTTGACATGATCTCCCTGAAGTAAACCCATGTTGTCTCTGATCTTGAAACGCTATAAAACAACTGCAGCACCCACAAATAACACAAGAAGAATATGGTAACACATACCTCAAATTAAAAAAATAGTACTGGCATGCCAAGGGACTTCAAAATCTCAATTTGGCACAGTAATACTAAAATGTTGCCTACCCCAGGGCTAGGGCACTCTTTGTGGAAGCCTAGCTATGGGTGGAGTTTGGTCTGAGTGGAAATCTGGACTTCATATAAACTGCTTGGAGTTGATTGCAGGCTCCTTTGCTATTCAAAGCCTAGTGAAGGACTCCACAAACAGCTGTATTCTGCTTCAAATAGACAACGTTTCAGTGGTTCAGTGCATTAACAGACAGTTTTTTCGCTATTGGAGGAATGCAAACTAGATATGTGCACCAGTGAAATTTCCGTTTCGTATGAATGAATTCGTACTGAATAAAAATGTCATTCGTCCATTCCGAATTTTGTCCGTAAAATTCATTTTTGGACAAAATTTGGTAAAAAATAATTTGTTTTCGTCAATTAGGAAG